CAACAGCGCCCCCGTGCGGCCCCGCCCCAAGGAAGCGCGAGGGCTCCGGCGTTCACCGGGAAACCGTTGATTGCATCTCGGAAACGGGGCCTGGCTTCCCCCGTACAGGAAAGAAGGTACGTTTAGAACGGGTGCGTTACAAACAGCGGGGGGAGTTACCACGAGAGACAGAAAGAGGAAGAAATGTTTATTACAACGTAATTCTGCATAACTTAAACCAAAAACAACAAAAATCCTTTAAAACTGTTAGCTGTAGTACAAATTCTTTTATAGTATAAAATCAAGTCGCCAGTGTATCAGTACCACACTTGGGAGTCCTGGGCTCCCGCCGCTGACGGGCGCTCCTCCGTCCACCGGCTCCTCGCGGGCTGCCCGGGCAGCCCCAGGAGCCGGGTTCACACTCGGTGAGTGCACAGCGAGGCCCTTCTCCCTTGGGTGCCACAGAAATAGCTCCGCTGTAAACTGGAGAAAGCACTTGCACATCTAAGCACACCCCGTAACACCCTCTGGCCACACAACTCCTGTACTGCTCAGCTCCCTGTGGGTGGCTTCAGCTGTACGTCAAAAAACCACTTCTTTCAGAAACCATTCACACACTGAAAAATTAAACTCGGTCTCTTCATAGCGAGTCTCTTCTGTGAATTAAGCCATACTCACTGCATTGCATCAGTAACAAACTGAGGAACCTGGAGCAGTACAGGAAAGCCACACAGCTTAACCTGTGCTTTCTGATCTCCCAAAAACTAGACAAAATCCAGCTGTGGCATGGTGTGAAGCCTGTGTTTGCTTCCTGCCTACTGAAGAAAGCTGAAAACAACATGTGGGAGGCACAGAACATTGTAGAATGAAGCACTGGATTACTTACAATATAAATGCATCAAGAATTGTAGGCAGGGAGGGAAAGGAAGATCACAAACTGAGAATGCCCACTGAATGGAAAAGCTCATTTTATCTGTGTGCTCCTGAAGCTCTTCCTCATGAAAAGCAGAGGCTGGAGAAAACCAGCTGAGGTGTCAGCCAAGCAGGGCTTCTGCTCCTGGCAGGAAGCAACAGAAACACATGGCACCTAAGCAACTGTTGATGAGGTACTCCAAAGTCCGTAAAAAGTTTCTGATGGTGTTCAAAGTTCACTTTCTGCTCGTTTTCATCACTATCGTGTCATTCTCCTCCATACTGTTGTGTGATTCATTTAGCAAGTAATCTAGATGGGGATGAAGTGTTCTAGGATAATGTAATCAATAATGCAATCAATTCAAATAAATTGATTAAGTAGATGAATTTTATCTCAATACACTCTCTTCCAGTTAACACCAGGTTGGCTGCTCTGTCAGCCTACAGGAACAGGAGGGGTGTGCAGTAATACTTGCTCACAGGATTTCTTCCCCACAGAGTTATTGTCATCCAGTTCAGAATAACCACAAAATATGCAGAACTAAAGGATTTCAGTATGTAAAAAAGTAAAAACTTTTTAAAACAGTAGTAGCTTCAGTACAAAATTGCAAATACATGTAGCAAAGGGAAAAAAAAAAAAAAAAGAAGAGGTGCCTGTTGTTGAAATTAAGTCTATTTAAGAGCAGTTCAAACATGTCACAAACACTTTAAAGTACATCTCTGAATGAAGCAAACGGGCTTGCACCGGGGTAACTAGACAGCTGATTTAGGCCTGACCAGCATTAAAAAAAACCCCATGTGCACTGGCTTAAATAAATATATTGTAAACAAGATAAAGCTTTTTTTACTCAGTTACTGAAATTAACCTACAGAAAATACTCTTGAATTACAAGGCACAGAGTTAATTACTACCTGCAAGTCAAGCCCACAGTAAAGGCCTACTACTAAAGTAAAGGCAGAACATGGTGAGTAGAGGTTACCTAACTAAAATACTACAGCCTCACAAGCCTGCAGGGCACTGCAACAGGAGCCACATCTGCAACAGCATTTCCATGAGTGTAAGAGGTGCAATGGCACTTGGTGAAGAAAAATCTGCAGAGTCCCTGTGCTTCTGCAAACATAACGGGTGTTTTGGTGTTGCTTGCAATAAGGCAACATTTGGACCTCTGCATTGGTTCACTAGACACATATACCAGTATTTGGATTGTCTGCAGTTTATAAACTATGGGTTGCAGTTTGCTAAAGCAGTACCAATACAAGCATCTCTCAGATACACAAAAATTGCAGTTAGTGTCAGCATCAGTTACACCAGCTGAAGAAAGGCACATCCTCCTCAAAGGGAATTAGGGCACAAATACGGATGTTTCTATTCACCTGGTATTTTTGCATGATTCAGATAAAGCAAGGTCAAATTAACACAAGATCCCTAAACCCTTCTTGATGTACTCTCTGTTATCATGCTAAAATGAGGCTTTTTTTTTGTCCAGGGTATACACCAGTGCAGTTCCGCATGTGTGGGAATCACAAGAAAGCAAGTCCTGAATTACCAATTGAGGCTGCACGCGGACAAAGACAGCACTGTCAACTTCAGACAACAAAGCTCAGTCCAGCACCATTGGTTTCACACAAAGTAGCTTTGAAGCATGCTGCTTTCATACCACCAAGCTGTAAGGTTAAGTCTAAGGAAAGTTTCATGCACTCACTCCTCAGCTGGTCCCGGAATGACACATAAAGAACAGTGCACCCTGAAAGTAAAAGCCAGCTGCCACTCACTGGAGATGCTGAAAAAAGTTAAAAAGGATGCAAATAGAACTTCAGTTTAAAAAGTTTATATTAACTGATCACCTACTAGAAAGAAAAAAACTGCCCAAGTAAACCTATCCAGTGACTGACTAACCATTACAAATTTAACTGAAACCATTAGTGAGTTGCCAGGAAGAAAAAAGGGTTCCTGGTTCCTGTAAACAGAACCTCCAAATTTTCTGTCAGTGTTCTCCCAGAAAAGCAACAAAGCAATTTGCCATAAAAATCTCAGGTGGTGGCCCAAGAACATTAAGAAGTGAAGCAATGAATTCCTCAAGAGCAAATGGGCTGCTATCAAGTCTCTTCGATTCATCAAAGGGATCACACTGAAAATCTCATTTTGAGAAGTGTCATCTCAACTACCTCAGGCAGTCTGAGAAGGTCACTGAACTTTATTCTCAAGGTACAAAATCTCTTTGGAGAGTGACATCAAAACTCAGTTTAGATGATTATGAAAGACTTGCATCTAAACTACTTTTTCACTTCTCCGATTCAGGAGTATGAAAATTGCTCATTTGAGTGATACATCATTATCCTAAGTTCCCTACATTAGGAGAAATCAGTTCCTACTTCTATTAATAAGATCACTGCAGGTGTTCCCTGGGTCTTGCTCATTGCATTAAACACACCTTATGCTAACTCTTCATATAAATGATCACAGTTCACTATAAGGTGAATCTCAGTAATATTTCAGGCATTTTTGCATGTAAACAAATTGTTTCAAGATTTAAATTGACAAATCAAAAGAACTGCACAGTCAGACTTCTGTTTGTAAAACAGATCGGTAAATAAGGGATGGGAAAAGCAGCAGCTACACTTAAAGCAAAGTTATCAGAATCTGTGCTTTTCAACAAATCTAGTAACTGATGGCTATCTAGTAAAGAAGTCTGGCTTCAAAGAAGTACCTCTTTTTATTTTCCTCACAAAATAAGGACAGAAGCCAAGTGATCCCTGGAGAAGCTGGAGACTGGAACTTTAGAAATAAAGTAGATATTTGACCTCTCAGCTAGAAAAAAACCCCCTCTGTTTCGGTTTCCCTGAAGCAATAAGACTGCAAGAATATTCGTTGCATAAACCATTTCTGCTTAGAGCTGTTAGTGCAAGATGCAAATCTTCAATTTAACTCATTAAAGAGCCCTCCAAGATTCTAGTCAGTATTCAACTTTGAACCTCCATCACTCCAGGTAACTACAATAAGACACATTTTCTTGTGTTCTTCTTTGTCACAGGATACAGAACTGCACGCACAGCTTCAGCAAACACCTCACGAACACCCTCCTGATTCAATGCTGAGCACTCCAAATATTTGACTGCTCCAATTTGTTTAGCCAGTGAAGTCCCCTGCTGTGGGGTAGTGGGAGCCAAGCTTTGCTCTTTCAACTTTTTAACTGTTTCCAGGTCATTTCTTAAGTCTCTCTTTGTGCCTACTAAAAGAACAGGAACATTTGGACAGTGGTGAGAAACTTCAGGATGCCATTTGTGCCTCACATTTGCATAGGAAGAGGGGCTACCAATGGAGAAACAGATGACGAATACATTGGTTTGAGGATACGAGAGCGTGCGCAGGCGGTCATATTCCTCCTGGCCTGCAGTGTCCCAGAGATTCAGGCTCACAGTCCGGCCATCAACAGTCATTTGGGCACTGTAGTTGTCAAACACAGTAGGGATGTACTCTTCTGGGAAGGCATTGGTGGTATAGCTGATGAGAAGACAAGTTTTTCCCACAGCACCATCTCCAACAACTACACACTTTATAGTCTGCATTCTTTACCCAGAAACAGAGTCCTGCACAAAGCAAGAAAACAGTTAGAAAAAGCACAGTCAATTACAGTAATTTTAAAGATAAGCTAACAATTTCTTATCACAGCTAGACATACTCAGTGTCTCAGAAGCCACTGTGAAGCGCTCACAGGCTAGAAAGGCAATAGTGACACAAAGATGCAATGAGTTGAAAGCTCAGTGAGAACTGGCTGCACTCCAACTACGTAAATACAAATTAGATAGATTCCCACAGTCTTGCCTTA